CCCGCAGCGTGAAGTCCATGGAAGGCGCCGGGGACGGATTTGGATCCTGGTCCCTGGGGGTGGGTACCGGGAATCAGACCAAGGATACTCCAGGCCGAGTCTGGCCTGGTGTGGAATGCTGCTGCCCCCTGGTGGCAATATTTATAACGTTTTTATGTATGGTTTATTTCTATGTTTTGCTGCCCCTCCATGGGCCACTCTCAGGGCAAGAAAGACCCAGGGTGGTGGGGTCGAAAGCAATGAGCGTCGGCCTAACCCGGCTCCGAGGTAAAACCCTTGCTGGCTTCAGCAGGGGTGGAGTTAGGGCTCCAAGAAAGCCCTGCTCAGTACGCAGGTAATGCTCCCTATCTGCCTGGCCAGCGGGAAGAGGGCATGCCCTGGGGGAGCTGAGAGAGATGGGCAAGTGGAGGAGTGGGGATGGGGCTTTTCCACGCTGTAGAAACAGAGGGTTTGCTGCCTTGGCTCAGACGCCTGGCCCGTCTCATCCGGTCTCCTCACCCCCTGTGAGATTGGACCAGACCACGGGTTCGTCTAGATCCCAATCCAAAGCCCACCAAAGTCAGTGGGCGTCTTTCCATTGACTTCTGGGACTATTGGCGCAGACTCCATGTCCCGCATCCCACTTCCACCAATGGCCAATACCTGATCCTTCAGCTAAAGGCAAGCCCTGGTGCTAGTAGTTGGCTTTGCCATGCCCCCGGACCCCTGCCATCTGGCGCCCCAAAGCATGAGACTGGTTCTTACCTTCAAACTGTCTTGGGAAAGGAAAGGAAATCAGGTTTTAAAAAAATCCCAAAGGTGCAATTTGGAGTAGTGTCTCCAAAGCCACCAGCAGCAGAGACGCACAGACAAACAGGCTGGCTGCCAGCATCCATCTCTCTGAGCATGGTTTTGCCAGGTTTGGCGGGGAAGGAAATACCCATCTCCCGAGAGCTACCCTGGGCACAAGCCCAAGTCGATGTCAGAGGGGCAGGGATGGTTTGATTGTGTTGCATTTTTGATTCCGAGGGGTTTGGGGGTAGTCTCTGGAGTTAGCGGAGGGGATTCCATGTTCTGTAAATGTGTGTGTACATAGAGCTCCCTATCTATGTGTATATAGATGTATATGCGCGTTCTTTTTTGTTATATGCACTGCTGGTTTCGTAAATAAATTCCCCATTTGGCACCCTGGGACTTCTGGGTTAGTCCCTTTTGCTTGTCTCCTTGGGGGCTCCTGGCCTGGCTGAAGCAGCCAAACAGGCAGGGCGGAGACCAGAGAACCTCAGAGCAAATGGCCCGGAGCTGGAGCGGAGAAAAGGAATGAATACTAGCACTTGGCTTTCACCCACATGGGCAGTGACTGGGTTTGGTGCCCATGGCAGGGTTGTGTGAGACTGTGAGAGGGAGCGAGAGAGACCTGTGACTTGTGTGTGTGTACATATAGTTACATGGTCATATACATGTGATTGTACATGCATGCACTTGTGATTGTGTGTTTACATGTGTGTGATTGCATTTACATGCATGATTTATGCATGCAGATGTGAGTTTGTGTGTTTGCATGCATGTGATTGCATGTGAATGTGTGTGTGCACACTTGTATGTTTTACGTGTGAAGTTTTGTTAGAATCATAGAATATTACGGTTGGAAGAGACCTCAGGAAGTCATCTAGTCCAATCCCCTGCTCAAAGCAGGACCAACACCAACTAAATCATCCCAGCCAGGGCTTTGTCAAGCCGGGCCTTAAAAACCTATAAGGATGGAGATTCCACCACCTCATGAGGTAACCCATTCCAGTGCTTCACCACCACCCCTAGTGAAATAGTGTTTCCTAATATCCAACCTAGACCTCCCTCATTGCAACTTGAGACCATTGCTCCTTGTTCTGTCATCTGCCACCACCGAGAACAGCCGAGCTCCATCCTCCTTGGAACCCCCCTTCAGGTAGTTGAAGGCTGTTATCAAATCCACCCTCATTCTTCTCTTCTGCAGACTAAATAACCCCAGTTCCCTCAGCCTCTCCTCATAAGTCGTGTGCCCCAGCCCCCTAATCATTTCCGTTGCCCTCCGCTGGACTCCCTCCAATTTGTCCACATCCCTTCTGTAGTGGGGGGACCAAAACTGGACGCAATATTCCAGGTGTGGCCTCACCAGTACCGAATAGAGGGGAATAATCACTTCCCTCGATCTGCTGGCAATGCTCCTACTAATACAGCTCAATATGCCGTCGGCCTTCTTGGCAACAAGGGCATACTGCTGACTCATATCCAGCTTCTCGTCCACTGTAATCCCCAGGTCCTTTTCTGCAGAATTGCTGCTTAGCCAGTCAGTCCCCAGTCAGTAGCAGTGCATGGGATTCTTCCTTCCGAAGTGCAGGACTCTGCACTTGTCCTTGTTGAAGCTCATCAGATTTCTTTTGGCCCAATCCTCCAATTTGTCTAGGTCACTCTGGACCCTATCCCTACCCTACAGCATATCTACCTCTCCCCCCAGTTTAGTGTCATCTGCAAACTTGCTGATTGTGCAATTCATCCCATCATCCAGATCATTAATAAAGATGTTGAACAAAACCAGCCCCAGGACCGACCCTGGGGCACTCCGCTTGATACAGTCTGCCAACTAGACATTGAGCCGTTGATCACTACCCGTTGAGGCCGACAATCTAGCCAGCTTTCTATCCATTTTATAGGCCATTCATCCAATCCATACGTCTTTAATTTGCTGGCAAGAATACTGTGGGAGACCGTAACTTTCACTCCATGCATCTGAAGAAGTGAGGTTTTTTACCCATGAAAGCTTATGCCCAAATAAATCTTAGTTTTTAAGGTGCCACCGGACTCCTTGTTGTTCGTATCAAAAGCTTTGCTAAAGTCAAGATATATCACATCCACCCCTTTCCCCATATCCACAGAGCCAGTCATCTCATCAGAGAAGACAATTGGGTTGGTCAGGCATGACTTGCCCATGTTGACTGTTCCTGATCACCTTCCTCTCCTCCAAGTGCTTCAAAATGGATTCCTTGAGGACCTGCTCCCTGATTTTGCCAGGGACTGAAGTGAGGCTGACCGGTCTGTAGTTCCCCGGGTTCTCTTTCTTCCCTTTTATAAAGATGGGCACTACATTTGCCTTTTTCAAATCGTCTGGGTCCTCCCCCAATCACCACGAATTTTAAAGATAATGGCCAATGGCTCTGCAATCACATCAGCCAACTCCCTCGGCACCCTTGGATGCATTAGATCTGGACCCATGGACTTGCGATTGCGTCTGGGAGTGCGTCTGGGATTGTCTTCACAGGGAATTCAAGGTGGCCACGCCTGCAGGGCTAGATGATAAAGCCCAAGTGAGCCCAACCTGTCAGCTGCTAACACAACCACTCTGAGGTGTGGATGCAGGTGTGGGTGGGTGTCAAAGTCTGTGTGTGTGTGTAGCAGTGTGTGTGTAGCTGTATATGATGTATGTGAATGTGTATCAATGTGTGAGTGTGTATCTGTGTGTAGCAGTGTGAGTATCTGTATATGATGAGTATCTGTGTGTGT